ACTCGGACAAGGGGCTCGGTGGCCAAGAAGTACGGGGTATCATGGGCTTGAAGATTGGTCCCGAAATGATTCGGCTCGAAGTTAAGTTTTCATTCAGATGGTTTTCCCCGCTGTGCACAAAAGCACATCTCAAGGAAGGTCTGTGCTGTGACCTCGGGCATCCTGTCCGTCAAACAGTTCGTTCGTCATGCAGCTCGTTCATGCAACACATTCCACACCGCAGACCCCAAACATCCCAGTCGCACACGATGCATGCAATAAAGGCATGCAGTAGATTTGCAACCAAATTCCAGTCCATGTGTCTTCAGCCTGCAAGCTGAGTCGCGCAAACTGCTTCCGGGTGAGTTCAAGATGTACATCTGTGGACATGCAATAAGTCAGGCCCCCAATTCACATCGTTTTTAGTCCGTCAGCAGTATTCACCACCAGAGTGGCGGGTCACTTGTAAGACCAGGCAAGAGCTGAAGTTCAGTTGCATCGAGTTCCCAACCTACCAAAGAGTTTCATCCAGGCGATCGCATTTAAGGTATCCACGTAAAAAGACTTTGGCCCAAAGGCATCCATGCAGCAGTGTTGACGAATGCTTCCCTCTTGCTTGGTTTAGGATTCGAGGGGTTGACCTACAGTGGCTTTCAAGGATGCAAACTCCAAGCGGTTCTACTGTCCACTATGCTCCTGGTCGCATTTTGTCAGCGGCGCAGCCACCTGGGAGGTTCATGTTCGGAGCTTCGGAGTTGGAGCCTCGTGTGCTTACCCTGCTGCATCATACAGTAGACTACAAGGTTATCCCTGGCAATGGCTTGTAAGGTTGGTTGGGTACGGGCTTGAGGCTGTGGGCCTCTGATGTTTGAGCTTTCTTGCTCGGGTTCTGTCGAAGGCTTCAGAGGTGTCGGCCCGGTGGAATGGCAGAAGCCAAATGCCTCTGAGCTCCGATGAAAAGCTCTTGCTTCTACCCCGCGCGATTCATTCTTCCTTTCAGTTTGATGGCCCCATAGGCTCGGAAACTTGATCATTCAGCTCTGGCTTGTCCTGTAAGACCTGAGCACCAACATGGTGCAAACCCGAATCTCGTAAAGCCCCCAAGCCCCATGTCCCAAAGCCCCTCGCAGCTTTGCCGAGCCTTCACATCTGAGCCGTATTCGACGATTCCCAGCGAGTCCCGCGCTGACAGGTAGCGCAGCATGAACTTCCTCACTGAAGGCATGGACTGATCCGTCATTGTTCGACCGTGGACAGCAAGCATTGAGCCTGAAGAATGAACACTGGACAAGATGCCAGGAAGTGCCCCTGGGGTGAAGATCAAGGCTCCTATATTCTATGTGTGTGTGTGTGTAGCGATTTAACCCGTAGGGCTTAGATCAAATGTTGCAAGAGTCTTTAAGGGCTTAGAGAAATGAGGTCTCTCCTTGAGCCCTTCAGTGCACAAGCCCGCCCCGTATTCCTAAACCTGGAACAGAAAACTCCTCCAAGTTGAACCCACAAGAGCCCTCAGAAAGAAAGCACATGTGCAACCTCGTATACCCAAGTTTGTACACCGACAAGGGTCATGGTTTGCTTCACCAGGCGGATCTTCTCCCCGCCCATGGAGCCCGACCGGTCGAGAACAGCCTGGAATCTTCGGGGATTTTCGAAAATACTATTTGTAAGGATGTGGAGTCTCAAAGGGTGTGTAGGGTTTAGGGACTATCAGGAGGGCTGAGGTTTAGGACTTGTGCGGTTGAGGTCTTGAAACGGCATTTTTAGGGTTTTACGCTCAACTTGCAGTGTTTTGGAGGCGGGGATTAGGGGGGTGCAGAGGTTCCGGGCATCAACCTCTAGGAGGGGAGTCGAGGACAACTCCGGAGAATTCCTTGTGCAGAAACGCCGATTGACGTCGGAGTCTCAGAGCGAGACCCTTGAACCCCGAATATGAAAACCAAACTCCGAAAAAAAGGTGTCCCACCAAGGCTTTTGAATGTTCCGGCACCGAGCGGCAACTAAATGGAGTGGAGCCCGGGACCCCTCCTCCACAAGCGGCGCTACGACGGAGAGGACAGCCTGGCTCTGGACTGTGCTAAAGCCGATCTCGAGGGTCCTTGTGCTCAGGGTTCGGGTTCCGCAAAGGTGGGAATGTTCAAGTACCGCTCACCAACCAAAGCCCCTGGCACCCACGAGTCGACCTGGGGAGAGAAAGCAACAAACAAAGGCCCTGCACCCGAATGCAATACTTCGTAAATCGCGCAAACCCTCCAAAACACCTGAGACACCCTGAGAGCCTTCATCTCGTTGGCGGCCAGTCCGATGGCTTGTCGCTCCAGAGCCACTTCCTTGAGGGGAAGAAGGCCACAGGGGCAGGTCCAACGTGCGCCCATTTCAGGAGCACCCTTGAGGCTCACTTCACCTCGAGAATATTCGCGGGACGGTGGCGGGAATGCGATGCTCCTCTAATAGAAACCCCAAGCGAGCCCGAGAAAAGTTCTAGACAACTCTCTTCCGTTTCATGAAGATTTTGAAAGCCACGTGCCCGCCCGACGCAAGGACAGCGATCCAATCCCCTCACTTCCAACGTGAGAATCCGACAGTTTTGCAACACTGTTTGGAAAAACCGTGCCCATCCAAACGAGACAAGCAATCCAGTATCTGATTCCAGCCCATGGAACAAGCAACTAATCACCCATACTAAAGCCCATCCAAGCAAGTATGCAGCAGTAGGCGCTGCTTACAACCCTCAAGTCACTGCAAGTAGAAGCAGGAATACACAAAAACGATCTCCCAAGTAACAAAAGACCGAGCTTCTGCACTGAGGCTCTGAGCTCCTGCCGGCTCCTCGACCTGCTGGCGGCCATGCGTCTTGGGCATCTTTTCATCTCCGAATTTAGACTGCAGGGCAGTAAAGATTTATACTGCGACAGTCTAAAAGCACAGCGAGCGCGACGGTCAGTACAGCATAGCCAAGAGTGAAGGAACGACCTGAGAATTGCTTACAGAAGCATCTCAACACGAGCAGGTGCGAGTTCCGGCATCAGGGCAGAAGAAAGTCCAGCAAAGTCGGAGGCAAAGGCTCCAAGGGAGGGGACTTTCCGCTGCTCTCCCGGCAGGGGGGAAGCCATGTCCATAACGGCACGCGGATAAAACACTCACACGAGAGCAGAACGTGACATGCAATGACAATCGTCATGTACGAGGACAGTATGGGTCGTAGGATTTCTAGTTTTACCAAAAGGATTCGCACTTCGGAAATGTTGAGGACGAAACTCTTATGTTCGCTGCAAGTGGGCTGCATAGTTGCCTTCACAAGGAACGTCAGAAAGCATCCAATCATGAGCAAGCCACCATGTTCCACCCGTCGAGTGTGGACCGTCCGTCGTTGGTAATCACTTCAAACTCCGTGCTGGTCATGGCTCTCTGGCAGACTAAGCGAAAGGAGGGCGAAGGTTCTTGGGACGTGGACGCAAATGCTGCGGGTCCGTGGCAATATGCCTGAATGGCCCAGCATTCTCCACCTGTGTGCATCACTCCAGCAAAAGACACGACCATCTGCTACTCAAGTCCAAGGGTCCATGATATCATGCAGCGCACAACAAGTCTAAATTGTGGCAGTAGGCAGCTACTTAGACTTGGGAGACTTTTTCCGCTGTGCATTTTTTCGACAATATAAGACCAACTTGTCTGCAAAGCCTGGCCTTGGCACAGCATTTCGGGTCGCTGGGGATTGGGAGACTTGGGGTTTTTTTACGAGAATGCAAGTATCGATTGAATCTCAACCCTTGTTGATAATTTGTGGAAGACAAAGGTTTCGAACTCGGAGTTGTAGCCTCAGGAATCTGTGTCTCGGATTTTTGCAATTTGGTCTTGGCTCAGGGTTCGTGAACTTAGAATTTTGTCGGGTATATTGTTCGGAATTTCCAGCGCAGAGATTCTACCGGGCATGGGGCATGGAGCCAGCACAACTAACACAACTATCTGGTGACTTCCGCTTAGGGTGTTTGAACATTCAGCACATGAAGCATGTTCAATCATGATTCGTTAATCCACGTTGCGTCGGCAACTATTGTGTCAGAAATGCTGGGTATATGCACCCTGAAACTACCTAGAAACTTTTCGACTCTTTTCAGTGTGGGCCAGGCCATCCTAGCTGATGGGCGACATAAGCACGTGCAAGCTCCCAAGCAAAAGGAAGAGATCTGGGCCATCCCGCCACTTCGGGATGCACCACTCTCTGACGACTTCCCAGTCCTGCAATGAATGTTTCGGAATCAGCTGTGCCGCTAGCCGCTAACAAGTCAGTCGACGCAAGAACCATTACATATATATATACACACACACACACACATATATATATATATATATACGTACATACATATATATATATNNGATAGATAGATAGATAGATAAGATAGATAGATAGATAGATAGATAGATAGATAGATATGCACACACACACACACACACACGCACATGAAGCCAGCGAAATCCACAAACACCTGAGGCGTCGCGCGTGCTCCCCTGCATGATTGTGCACCGTGACCTCGCAACTCGGCAAGCACCGCAGGGCACGAGAAACTCATATTCACCGAGAGCTCCTAGCGACAGAAGCCTTCTGGCAAGTTACAGTTATGGTATGGTGATCCAGAACCAGCAGAACCAACATAACACGAACAATAAGGGCTGTAGTGGCAACAACGGCAATCAAACGCATGCCACAGCGAGGGTGATAAGAAACGCAGGCACACTCTACACCCCCTTTGCTTGGGTCAGTGTGTTCGGGGTCTAATACACCAGAAGACACCTACAGGGTGAGATTCGGAGGGCATGGTTCGGAAACGAGGGCAGGCTAAAACAGAAAGAAGCCACCAAGCAGGAATGTCCCTTCACTCCGAGACTTCGGCAAGGGACCCTTAGGTAGACAAGGCATCTGAATAACGAAGAACCAAAGCCTTTTAAAGGAGGCACTGTCAATGCTATCTTCAACCTGAGCTGACCTTCCGAGAATGTCGTAAAACGTCCTTGCGACGGTCTCTTCATAGAGGGTGCCAGGTACCCAGCAACTCCGTGCCATAATGGTCTTCGGGACTGCCGAAGAAAGTGAAACGCCGGATGTTGAATGGTGTCTTCATGTCTGAGTCGTAAATGTATGGAAAGATCTCGTTCAGAGCATTGACCACCCTGCGAACTAAGCGGTCGCCGATGTAAATAGGGTGCAAGGACACTAACACGACTGGCTTTTGCTTCTTGAGAAAGGAGCGCATAGCAGGTACAAGCACGCGCTCGTGTCCTTCAGTATCAATTTTGATGAAAGAAACTCGCCGAAGTCGTGGGTATTTCAAAAGCAAGGCCTCAATGGTGAATGACGGAACGCTTGTCATAAGCGGGCGTGCTGGACCTGCGTATATCCGATTGTTGGAGTCCTCCCTGCGATTCAGGATCACAACGCTTCCGGTTTCGTTGTGCAGTGCCCCCCGGATGAGGGTGACTCGGCGCGACACGCGGGGGGGATTGACGTTCAGGTTGGCCAGCAACTGACACCCTGAAACAGGTGTGGGCTCTATGGCGAAGACATGCTCGGCAACGTTGGCTTCCCAGATCACCGTAGCACCAACCCAAGCACCAACATCCAGAACAATTTGGCCCGTCGCAAAACGCTGAAAGATCCGGAAAGTAAGCGGCTCCCAGGCACGATAGCCGGACCTAAACCAACCGGCCTTGGTCGTCAGAGCATCGAAGAACACGGGGTAGCCGTGCTTCTCAACCACTTCGCTAATGGATCCGAGGACTGGCCGTGTTTTGCTGAGGTTGCAGCATTGGCAAGTCGTTCTTACTTGTTCGACTCGCTGCCTCACACAACATCTCTCCGGAATGAAAGTAGCATTCCAGCACTCGAGATTGCCAGCTGGTCCAAACCTTTCGCCGCAGCAGTCGTCATAGGTGAAGCCTCCCCAGCAAGCCTGCTGTCTTCTCTATAGTCCATTAACTGAAACGGGATCATATCTGACGAACAAAACCGGAAACTAAAACATATCCTGTCGACCCTGCAAGAAACTGAATCAGGCAGTAGGGACTGTGAAAGGGAGAGCGACAGAGCGGCCAGCAGCCGCAGCATCGCCAAACATCCATCTTGCGTAGCTTCTGGATGAAGCGGCAACACCGAACCCCGTAGCGTAACTCACAAAGGGCCAGGATACCTAGCCGTCATGCTCTGAGTCATACAAACTCTGAAGGGAGTGCCAGGGCTTAGCAGGAGCTCATGTTGAAAACTGAGCCAGGCTGTGAAGATCGTGACGGCATCCAGGAGCCACCTGTACCAATGCAAGTAAACTTGCGCATACATCCCGCTTACTTGAAGCCCGAACTCTAACGCAGGATTTGTGTTGCTCCATAGCAGGGCAGTCCCATCTTCAAAACTGTCTGGCTTCAAGCATGCCTGACCCAAAGTCTTGGTTGTAAGGTACCCAGTACCTACACTCAAGGCTACTCAGCATGCAAGCAAGTACTTTTAACCCTACCTGGAGCTTTGAATCCAAATTTTGGTGCTTGAAGTGGGTTTCTAGATGAGCCTTTAACGTCCCTCCACAAAATTCCAACTTTAAGTCGAAACACTAAGCCCTACATCATCAATGATTCTTCACCATACACCCCGAGTTGACCAAGAATCCCTAACGCCAAAGATTTGCAGTCCTCTGCGATGCGAGAGAGAAGCTGATGGCCTCGCAGAGCTGCGGAAGTTTGTTGGCGCCGAGGGCTTCTTGCAGCCAGCTATTGAAAACCGGTGTAGGTGCAGCATCGCGTATGCATAACTGAGATTCGAATTTGGTTGAAACCCCAAGCAGAAAATGGGCCTACAGGGTTTCCGGGTTCGGTCCCCGCAACGTCATACTTCTTCGCCTCTCTCCGTTGTGGCCCGCTTCCAGGCAAATCCTATTCAAACAACGTCAAACATAGCATGCGGGCCTCGGAGGAAATCAAAGACTCTACGAGCCCTTGCCGTGCCGCTGTTAACCAGAAGCTTGCAATATTTGCGGGTAGCCCGAGAAGCAAAGAGGGTCACGAGAAGTTTATCCGAAACCCGCCTCCGGTCAAGCCCGCGTCGACAGCACGGGGATCCGCCTACATGGGCGATGGCTGACAGTGGGCTCTTCTAGATCAGGGTTCCCGGTGTCGAAGGAGCAACAAATCGCATAACGAAATACCTTTGACCAAAGTTGGTCTGAGGCCGTTGTGGAGTTTGAGCGAAAGATCACAAGAAACCTCCGGCCCCTGTATGTCGGAGTTGGTCGTGTCTCAGCCTGCTCGCCCAGGTAGAGGAAGTAGGTGCCCTCAAACTTCTCCAGCAGGTCCGAACCTATGGGTTTGCACTGCAAATGAATCCAACGAGACTCTTCAGTAGCCCGCAAACAGACAGGCAGGTAGTGTGAGCTACAGCTTTTCAGTAGCGGTTATACGAATACTTTTTCCGACCTGGTCTTTGAGTAATCTTCGCAGTGGGCCGACAGAATTTGGAGGCCGGCGCTCGGAGACAGAAAAGACAGAAAAGTCTGACAGGGGTGTCTTTACGAGATTTGAGTTGGCGCTCCCGGCGGTCCCCTACGCTGGTTGAGCCTTCGGACCTGACTGTGATTCGCTTCTTCATCGGCAGCCTTGCCGAGGCAACAGGCGCCTGGCCTTCGTCCTGAATCAGCAAGCGTCCCCAAATCCGGAACTCGGAAGCCCCGCAGGCCACGACATCGACTTGAAACACTTGGCGTACGCTCTTGGCTCTCGGCCAACGGTGTCCGGGCTATGCGGTGGCCAGCTCAAGAAGAGCGCCCACCTCTCGTGGGGGCCGTGGACCAGCACACAGCAGCAGCGAAGCACCAGAACCAAAAGAGACTTGCAAACAGGAAGGTCTTCAAGGCCCGACCCAGCCGTTACCGCGTCGAAACACACTTGATCCACATCACCATGAACGCTCAATTCTGAATCATTTCACTCCTAAAGTTGCAAGCCCCGGTCCTGCAACGTAGAGACCTGAAGCCTGCACACAAGCGCAAACACAAGTCTAGATAACATTGTTTCGTAGGGTTCCTAATCTCTTCCCCAAGACCATTAAGACCCGTATCCGAGACTTACGTCAATCACAACGTCACGGTACGGTCTTGCCTCGAAATTTCAGGTGGCTGCAGATGCCTCATAGCCGTCCTCAGGGTTGGAGGCTTCGGGCCGAGAAGCGCACACCCCAAACAACCAATGCAGTTGTCCCGATTAAGGATGCAAACCACAGAGACAGTTATGCCTCGACCTGTATAAGTTTGTTTTTTTTGATATGGTCTCTCCATGTCTCTGAGCTGTCAGAAATGTTCAAAAAAAACCTTCAATTCAAACCTCGAAGCTCAAGCCAGGAGGGAGCGGCCCCGGGCCTGGAATCCTCGACGACAGCGACGGAAAACCAAGCCGGCCGAACCTCAGAGAGATGAGATCTTCTCAGCTTCAAGGCTTCTGGCCTCGTGGCAGGCCTTCGTCCTTATATTGTGGCTAACCAGTTGTGCCTTTACAGTAGTCTCTACTGTAGGAAAATCTCTGAATGTATGCTTAATCTTTGATGGATTCTGTTGTGCAATCTCCGTGTCTTTCTATCCCTCTGTCTCCTTTCGCTGAGGTGCTTCAAATTAACGGACCTTGCAGATTAAAGGCTCATGGGCCAGTGGCCTGGAGTGCTTCTGCTAAGAGCAGAACAAACGGCCGGGCTGTGCGGACCGCGGCGGGATGCTTGATTGGGAAGGAATATCATGTCCAGGAAGCCCACAGTACCCAAAGAGATCCGAAAGTCAAGTCTCGCATCCAGTCGTAGGGCTCACGGTTGTTGGTACAGAAGCGGTTGACAGCCCGATCCCGAAGCTCTCCGCGCTTTTCGATTAAATGGAACTTGGCATGCGGTTTGAAGGCATGATATCCTCCATTCCGCTTTTCGGAAACACCCCGCAAAACGTGGCTCAGATGTACCCCCCGAGCGTGATCTGCACATCAAGCCTGGACTGATCTGCATCGTGAGGAAAGCACGGAGGCTTAGGCTTAGGACGCCTTGCCTAGTGGCCTAGCGTGGACCTTGATTTGCTGGCCGGTCTGCTCAATGCTCAGCCCAAGATAAAGATATTCAAGATGCTGATACGAAAACCGCAGCATCTTTTCACCTGCAAACCGAAGAAGATCACCGTACTTATCGAGCACAGGATAGATCCATGTTACCACTCCGCAAAAATCTTAGGCGGCGGCGGCATAGGAATCCATGGCCAGGACAGAGAGGCCCCCTACCTTTCAGGCCGTGGTAACGACAGAGAGCAGGCCTCGCCGCTTGAATAGGGCAAAGAGAAACGGGGACTCTCCACACAGGCGCCCTCTTCCCTCTTTTGCCTTATTGCAAGCGAGCCTTGCAGCTGTTGGGAAAGAGGAGACTACGATGCAGCAACATGCACGTCTTTAAAGACTGGCTTAAAGATCGGTGGAATGATTCAGCTCATCCTTGCAGACTCAGATGTCCTCCTCTCGCGCCGGTTTAACCAAGGAGCAGTACGTCCGGCGCTGATCTGATCCACGGTACGGGTGCCACCGAACTCCATGAATTTGATTCATCTGTGGAGAGCCCGCCTGTCATATTTCCCACGACCGACTTCACAAAATAGCTCTGTAGGCAGGTCCCACCTTAAGTCTGGATGATTTGCGGACATGTGCATGTGGCAGTATGATGGGAGAAATGCCAAGTGGGCCTCATCCGCCATAGACCGTTGTCGATAGCTGGCTAGACGCCGGAGTAATTGTGGGGCCACGTCATCGTCAATGATGCGAACTTCGGACCGCCCCAGCTTGATGTAGGAGTCATGAATCAGGATATGGACGAATCCTAAGATATGGACGAATCCTAACCTAAGGTGATGACTCCTGGTTCTCCGAGGTCTCATGCAATGTCGGCGGCGACGGATCCTCACAGGACTTGAAGTGGCAAATGCCTGAGAACACTCCATGCAGTAGCGCTCTCCAATCAAGGCTACCTTTGGTGACGACCTGAGAAAGGCATAGGCAGGCAGCACTAGCCAATGCCAAGCCCCTGAATCGAGACAACCCTAGCCGATTCTGAGTCTCTAAACCGGACGGCCCCAGCCGATTCGGAGCTGGAAGCTGCTTAGGCCTTCGTGTTTGAAAATGCAACTGGCCATCCTCTACTCACCCACGCATCCCTGCCGTTGTCGAACCACTGGTTAGTCGGCGATGCTCCTTTGAACCTTTCACCCTCAAAAGTCCTGAGCACTCGGACAGTCAAAGCTTGGACGTGCATAAGATCCAAAACACTAGCGGTGCAAAGAGGGAGCTTGCCTGCAAGGACCCCAACCCTGGGGGCCTCCCGCCAGAGAAGTGCATGCCACCTGGGTCATGGTGCAGGGACCGTAAACCCAAAGTGGACGTAAGCAATTCGGGAGTTTCCCATTTTGGGCTTGTCGGCTTCACCTCAGCCCGAAACCAATTTGACGCTCAACTCGGCAACTTTAAGCCACATAGCCTTGGCCCTGAAGCCCATGCCGAGGTTGAGACCCACTACCAGCCAGTGGGTCGATGATACCCACAACATCCAAGTCCTTCAGGACGTCCGCCGCCTCGAGAACGGTAAGCACAACGTTTCTTTGGCTTTGGCTTAGGGCTTAGGGCTTCCTAGGACAGGATAGAACCACGGCCTTGATAGAACAGAGCTGCAGAGACCCTCCCATGACCAGATTTGGGATGCCAGAAACTTCGCCTCTGCGACTGCCTGCTCCGTGAGCAGACCCCAGGAGAAAAGGCTGCACACGTAGTACCTCCAAGGGGTCTACGGCTCCAAGCTCGTGGGAAACGGCGGGAGAGGGTCCACTTTGAAGTTTTGGTGTGCCGGCATGGAACATTCGCCGCTGGGAAGTTACCGCTGCCGGGCTGCGTCATTGAGGGCTAGGCAGCGCATGGTCTAGGACTGATTGAAGATGGAATAGTGAATAGTGCAGGTCTGTAACTGGAGCAATGGTGCAACGCAGGCGAAGTGCACCCAGGTTCCCCACTGGGCACTTCGAAGAACGCGAAAATAAACCATAATGGTCAAAACCGCTTGCTTCCTTTCCATGCCGTGAACCGAATCCATCAACAATCTGAGTTTCTACGTTTCCCAACCCTCTCTCTCGCTCTCGCTCTCGCTCTCGCTCTCGCTCTCGCTCTCGCTCTCGCTCTCGCTCTCGCGCTCGCTCTCGCGCTCGCGCTCGC